TCTGATCAAAAGCCAATAAATGATTGACGTTGTAGCAAAAAGGATCTCTTCAAAGAACAGTTTCTCGTTGCTCGTCAGGTATTGAAGCGTGACGAGTAGAAAAACTCAGGCGATCCAGACACCGTAGAGATAAGCCAATGGCAATTGAATAAACTGTGTTGTCTTGCTCTTGGTTGTAATGCCCAATCGACTTCTTCGTTCTATCCACTGAGTTCCATCCATTGGTCGAGTATAAGAGTGATTAAATCGCCATAGCATGCCACAAAATGCCACATAATGCCAGATCCAAGTATCACAGAGCCCAAATTATCAAAGCAACTGGAAATTCCATACTCAGAGAGAACACCAAGAATGGGTCATCCTGAAGTGCTTCAGTACGCATGTCCTGGACTAAAAGCGTCCTCAATGGAACAATTGCTCCAACTAGAAGCCTCTGACATCAATATCTGAGATTGACAGGAGTTCCGGAAGTTGCAATTACCCAATTTACCGTCAAATATACTCTCCTTAGCACTCAACTCCAAAGATACACGTCCACTGACGCGTGGATCTCAATAAAGCACATCTCCACAAAACAAGCCCACAATGAACGACACGTAACCAAAATTTGACACAATCATCAGCGTCTCTTCATATCATCCACCTTCACTTCAAATAGCTCAATTCAAGAATCCCTTAACTCGATTAGTCGTCCTCCTCAGAGTGCAACTCCTCAGGTCTGTCTCTCTCCAATTCCTCCAACTCCTGGTTCCTCAATTGCATCAGATAAACCGCCGTTTTGAACAACGTGTAAACAAGGCCGACCTTTCTCTCCAAGTTTCTCATATTGCCTAGAAGGGCATCAGCTGGAACGGCGGCTCCTTCAGAAGCTGTTTTCTGTCTGTTCAAGCTGGCGATTTCCGAGGCCAATTTGTTCAATTTGACCGCTAGTAGCTGGTACTGCAGAAGGAGCTCTTTTTCAAGCAGCAGGAGATCGGTGAATGTGGAGTAGTCTGTGGTTAGGGTATCTTTCATGGTAATGTTGTTTACTGGGCACGTGAGACAAATCATGAAGTTGTAGTGAGGGCTGGCTTTAGACCCGTACACCACGCAATAATGTGTATGTTTCGGCTGTGGGTCTGGGACAAGCAGGATTTGCGAAAAGACCCGTGCACCACGGACGTCGCACTTGGCGGATTTCGCACTTGGAGCGGAGTTCCGGTATGACGGGCTTCGGGGTCGTCCGAAATAGGCTTGCCACGGGATTCCGAGGGCGAAAAATGTCGTCGCACCCGCATGATGCCCCTTGTTTAGCCCCCCATACCGCTGCACGGCGGGGTACTTCCACAGCGGATGACCCCTCCAAAATGCAGAATACAATGTGATTTTATGTAATGGTTTGGCGCCAGGAGGCTAGTGAGGTGGAGCTTGTGGCTAGGGCACCAGGGCTGGCCAGTATGGAACAACATCACGTTATTGTGGCGTGTGGAGCTTGTGGCGAAGAATCTGAGACATTTTCATCGACCGAAAAGGTATATGAATATGATGTTTTTATGTGTTGGTTGGAATAATTGGCGTTTTCTCGTTACGGTTTGGCCATTGAAACTGCTGCTTAGGCGTGGCTAGGGCGTTCTGCAAATGGCTGCAAATGTGAGACATGCGGGCTCTCAAAACCGCATGTTTGAGATATCGAACAGATGAAAATATACTACTTGCAGGGACATCCTACTATAGCAACCTCTTCTAAATAAAAATCCCAGTTTTTTCAACTATGCCCCACCTCCTCCTCCATAAATGCCCTTCCCTGCGTCAGAACGACCGTTGAATGTCGTGTGACAAAGCAACGGCAACGATTCCGCTATTGTCCATGTCTGGTCCACATCTGACATGCTTGGTCTACATACATGTCGTTGAGGTGACAGGCTTTACCACGAAAAAAGTGCTTCTTCGGGAACACGGTTAATCTGTGCATCACCTCCCACAGCCTGGATAGCAAGTGGTGCGTTTTTCGATGACTCTCAAATTTGGCCGGTCAGATGCGTGGACAAGTATAAGTAGGGGCATTTAGGCTTTTTGTTCTTTTTTGTTCCTTTTTGGTTTTGACGACGGTTGGGTTGTAGGTGTTTTGGGTTTAGCTGTACAATTTGTAACAAGTAGTGACATGAAGTGTTGAGTCAATAGTGTTATCTGGATGTGCAATATATGAGACATGACGTAGACGTTGGGCTACAATGCTGCACTGACAAGTAGCAATGTAAGAAAACTTCATCTAATGATTTAGGTTTTTGAAAATTCCACTGTCACTATACAAACGAGGCGTATTGATGTGTATTCAGAAATGGCCAGAAACCATGATATACAAGCTGAAATGGCCCAAAGGGTATACTACCGGGCTCAGTATCCTTCTCTCAGCTCTTAATAATCCAAATAAAGTGCTTTCATATTGATGGCTATGTACCGAGGATGTTGAACGACAACAAGTATGACAAAACACCATAATCCCAACTCTTCATTATAAATCTTATATTGCAGTTTCCTTTACAACCAATGCAAATATATATAATTCTTATACGTTTTCGTCTGGATCTCCGTAGAATAGCCATTCTCATACTCCTTTGATGGTGTGAGACACTCCAAAGCAACTGACCTACAATCCCAAAAAGCAAAAAGTACAACGAATATCAATTCCATTACTAATTTTCTTCCTATCTCGTGAGCTACGTTCTGATACCGATTAAGTCTTCTCCTCAATTGCACCATAATGTTCATTTTCCAATCCGACCCGCATGGTTGCTTCAGCCGTGCATCACAAAACCCACCCACCCAGCCGCCAACGCCAGAATCCTCCTTCTTAAAGCCTTAAAACACAAAACCCTTCCTTAAAGTTCCCCCAGAAACCAAAACCAAACCCCAGCTCGGTACATCCTGATTGGCGAAAAATGGGCAACATTCCGAAAATCTCATGCAGATTTGCACCCACCAACGGAGGCCCCAACCGGCCGAAGTCACCATAATTTCACCGAAAAAACGATATTTCCACCATTCCAGCCAAAAACATCAACTTCCATATTAAAAAAAAAAACCTCTTCTGCTCCCTCCCTTTACCCCTTGTTCACCTGCCAGTGAAGATTCCTTCACAGTGAGGCAGTGACAGCATTCTGCAGGTTCCACCTTCATCAACTTCAACCTCGTTTATTCCAACACCGTTTTCCCAATCCAGCACATACACTGGATCCGCTGCTCTGATTGGCTGAATTTTTGCTGTTATAGCTCCGTTTACGCTCCGAGCGCCAAAGCCTGAAATTCCCAGCTCTCCAGGCGCCAAATTTACCCCCCAGCAACCATGTCTGAAGACCAGAACGGAACAACAAACAGAACCGTGGACGCCGAGTACCGCAAAAGACGTCTTGTCAAGAAACCCGGATCGTCGTCCAAAACCAAGTTCTACGTCTGGTTGAGCGGCCACTCCGTGTGTGTTCTTTTCGGAACCATCACATTGTTTTTCCAGGCCTTGTGGCTCCCTAACATCTACTACATCAACTCCATCGCCTACAGACTCTGTCTTTTGGGTGCCACCACCGCGTTTTTAGCCACCTTGTCCCACAAGTTTGGTCTCCACTACTTGCCTCCTATCACGACCCTTGTGGCTCAGCACAACTTCCAGTACCTCAACTTGGCCATCATGTACTCCTTCACCTTCAAGTCCGTGTTCAAGATCGTGCCTTTGTACTTGATTTCCATCTTGCAGTTGTGTGAACACTTCAAGGTGGGTGCTGTGCAGAAACACGCCGACTCCATTGCGTCGATTATCGGTTTTGACGAGATCTTCTTGGTGTTTTATCTTCTCGTGAGAACCTTGCTCTTCAGATCCACCTCGGGCTACCAGTTGGCCATTCTTTTGGTGTTCTTGTGGTTGCGTGTGTTGTTTGACCCCGACACCGCCAAGATGTTCTCGTATGTCGTGGACAAGGCTGACGCCAAGGTGTCCAACATCAAGAACGAGAAGGTCAACAAGGTGTGGACCAAGATCAAGCGTTTCCTTGATGAGAAGCAGTCCTCGAACTTTCTTTGAGCGGGGATGTAGATTGTACGATAAGATTTGTAAGATGAAGGTGTGGAGAAGTTTGATAATAAGATATTTGTTTGATTGAATGTTGGTGTAGGGAGTGCAAGGTAGGAATTGAAGTCGTTGGGCAGAGTAGGGTAGTGAAAGGTACCAATTGACAAATGTATGCTTGTTCTAGGGAGTGTTCATTGATAAGTAGATGTGCTTATAAGATTTGGAAGCAAGAGAGTTTTTCAGAATGTAACCGACTGAGCCATATATTCGTCTATTCTTACTAAGATGAGTATCTTCAATTGTGATGAACAATTTTTACGAGGGTAAGCTATTCTCTTATTGGTTTGTTTGAACTTACAAAGCGATCATACCATCTATCATTGGTGTTGATGTTCACGGTGGACAAGCACATAACAATAGTTCAAGTGTTGGTTGTGTTCGATTACAAAACTTGACACATTTCATTCCTTCCTCCCGAGATACTCTTATTACAATCCCTATACTAGCTTATCTAGTAGGGGAGTGACGAACTACACATAGATACCAATTCTGGTGGTGCCAAGAAACACTCTTCAATATTTTTCTGGCAACTCAAAAGCTCAATTTAATCAAAAACGATGTGAATATTTATAAGTATCCAAAAATTATTGATCTTGTGGTTCGTACTTGTCTATCTACATCACATAAGACTGAGGTAGTGAGACCACGATACATCTTAAAACAACCACACCACAGAACATCTCCGCTATAGAGCCTTTTGTGTGCAAATCCCACACTACCTACGTCATGGCTATTGTTCATACCTTCAGGGCATTGGCTACTTTTCATAACCTACAAGGCATTGAGCTCACTGGATATGGATAGTCTGGGCACCCAGCATCTCAAGAAACACGACACTCTTAAATATTCATAACATTTCAACCACTTTTTTTAATAATCTAGATACCCAATTTGCCCCCGGATGTTCGTCATAGCCGCTAGTTTGTTGGTTCTCAATGCCATCTCAATGGCAGTGGTCTTTGGCATACTTCCACTTCCAACCTTCTACATTTATCCAACAGACCCTAATTTAGACTGGATGGATATCATCAACCTTTTCATCCAGATGCTCGAAACTTGGGAAAGTGGCTCCACAGAAGGAGTATACGCTTACCTTCCTCACAGTCTACCAGTTGGAAACGTTGTATATTCGTTCTACCAATGGGGGATGAAAAAGTACAATAAACTTCTGAAGGAAGAGGTAGTCTACAAAGACAGCGGTCTCCGTATATTTCCATGTTTAGTACGAGATGTGGTGTCACAGATTCCTCAAGCTAAGGAAACCGATAGCGTTGGTTCGTGGGTAACGGTTGTTGAAAACACCTTGAATCTGACCAAAAGAAGCGTCAGAAATGTGTCACATCTTGAAACGGGAAGATACGCCGAAATGGATCAAGACAATGCCGAAAGACTCTCTACTATCCCGTACCATCGTCCTGAGACAGCTGCAAGACACAGGCAGTTCTTCTACTGCCACTATGCCATTGCCTTTCTTGGTTACTTTTTGAGCTTTTTCGTTCATTCACTACATTGGCAAGCCGCCTTTTGGGTAGCACATAATATAACCGCTTCCGTGGTGTTAGCCGGGATCGCTTTGGATTTGTTCGGTTACTATACAATTCTACTGAACAACGACATAGCGTGTACTCCTGGACCTTTCCTCTGGTTCCATATTGTTCTTATGTTTTGGGGCTGGATTGGGTTGGTGACTACTGTTGTGCTGGTAGCAGACTGAGGTTTTGGAAGAGAGGCGAGTTACATGCCATGAGTTAATGTGTATTGCAATGCCTTGAGTTAATATGTAATGTAATCAATTGACGTCTTTAGTGGCTTTACCTTGAGATGTTACAATAGAGTCAGAAGAGGTACACACCTCAATTCTAGTCCAATACGCTATGTTTCATTTATTCAATAAACTCTTCACGTTAAATGCTCGTCGATTCAACAGATGGAATGTGCTTGGTCAATTGCCAGATTCGACAATTGGCCTCAATAAATAAAGTCAGTTGCCAAGCAAAATTTAGACCCCAGTATAGACATTCTCTGGCTACTCGAATTGTCCTCGAAGTTCATGGCAATTGTTCTATGCAATGATTCTTAGGCTCGATTCAAGAAAAACATTTCTCCTTTTCCAACGCAAATCGCTTCCTCTCTTCAATTAGCTCATCTGTTTTAGCAACAAAAAACCAGATGTTCGTCATCGCCGCTAGTTTGTTGGTTCTCAATGCCATATCAATGGCAGTCGTTTTCGGTATTCTTCCACTTCCCACCTTCTACATTTACCCAACAGAGACCAATCTAAACTGGATGGATATTATCAATCTTTTCATCCAAATGCTTGAAACATGGGAAAAGGGCTCGACAGAAGGGGTCGAATCGTACCTTCCTGAGAATCTACCAGTTGGAAATGTGGTCTACTCATTCTACCCATGGGGTATGAAAAAGTACGATAGAGATCTGGGAAAAGAGCTGCTCTACAAGGACGACGGCCACCGTATAATGCCCGTTCTAGTTCGAGATGTGTTATCACAATTTCCTCAAGCTAAGAAAACCGACAGCGTCCATACTTGGGAAAGGGTGGCTCAAAACACCATAAATCTGACGAAAAGGAGTATCAGAAATATTTCACATTTTGACAGGGCAAAGTACTCCGAAATGGATCGGGAAAATGCCCAGAGACTCCTTCGTATTCAGTACTGCACTACCGACACAGCAGCACGACACAAGCAGTTCCTTTACTACCACTATGCAATTGCTTTCCTTGGGTACTTTTTGAGCTTCTTCATCCAATCAGGTGGTTGGCAAGCAGTCTTGTGGATAGCACATAATATAACCGCTATCATAGTATTCTTCGGGATTCACGACGATATGGAGGGTTATTACACGATTTTGCAGAATAACGACATAGCGTGTACTTACGGGCCTTTCTTCTGGCTCCATTTTGTTCTTATGTTTTGGGGCTGGATAGGGTTGTATATTTCCTTTTTCTTGTTGAGTGTGGCCGAGTAAAGTATTTAAGGAGAGCGATTCAGAAACTTGTAGTCTGATATGCCCTTTGGTCAAGAGATCAGGGTGTTGTTTACATTTAATTGAAACTTAGCCTCACTCAATACAACCGTCTTCCAAAGCCGTTCAATCTGTAACGAAAACGGCGTAGAAAGTGCTTCTGGATCACATGCCTTGAATTCAAAGTGTGTAATGTATTAAACTGACGTTTTGAGTCGATATCGTCTCGAGTCTCCATAAACACCTACCCTGTATTTCCACCAATGGCCCAGCAATTTCTCTGAAATAGTCAAACATCTCCACCGTCAACGTTTGAACAAGAAAAAAAAGCTTCAAATCTTTCATTTATTGAGGTCAGCCAAGTGGTATGTTGTTTCTGGCCTATAGACTGGTTCAATCCACTTTTCTTCTTTCTTAATTTTACATTTGCATTTCTGCTTACCTTGTATTGTTTTTTTAACTTAATCCTCTATTATACCGATATAATATACATTTTGGTTTTTATCAGGATCTCAAGTATATCATTTAGGTCTACATAATTAGTCAACATCATCCACCCGTTTGGTGATCCAAAATACATCCAGCTGCAAATTGAGCTATGGAACTGACCTGCCTAGATGAGATTGACCTACCTTGAGTTTCAAAAGTATGAGATATAACACATTGACGTTTGAGCAGCCTTCATGCCTCGACTTCTCAACGAACACCTACCCTGTATTTCCACACACATCGCCCCAATCCACGCAATTCCTCTCCCACATCCATAAACCCCCATTCCCAATACCCCACTCAAATAAAATATAAAAATGCTGACGAAAATCGGTTGCAAGTCCGGTCGGACCGACCGTGGTGTACGGGTCTTGACCAACACATAGCTCGCTCCAGATCTCTAAATCTCAACTACACCTTCACCACAGTAGAGAGAAGCTCCTGTGCACCATGCTGCAGCCTATAGTATATCAATTGGGACACGAGCCCATTAAGGACCACTGCTTTGCTCCTGGATACGAGCTTTTGGCCGTCACCAAGGACAACACCGTGGAGTTGTACCAGACCCAGGTGAACTCCAAAACCAAGCCCCAGCTTATCACGACTTTGAAGGGTCACGACAAGACCGTCACTTCCGTGGATATCTCGCCCGATGGAACCAAGATCTTGACCTGCTCCCAGGACAGAAACGCCCTTGTGTGGGAATGGAACGATCAGGCTGGAGACTTCAAACCCACCTTGGTGCTTTTGAGAATCAACAGAGCCGCCACCGTGTGCAAGTGGTCGCCCAACGGAGACAAGTTTGCTGTTGGTTCGGCCGACCGGATCATTGCTGTCTGTTACTACGAAGCCGAGAACGACTGGTGGGTGTCCAAGCACTTGAAGAAGCCGCTCAAGTCCACCATCACCAGCTTGCTGTGGCACCCCAACAACGTGTTGTTGGCGCTGGGCTCCACCGACGGCCACGTGCGTGTTTTCTCGGGCTACATCAAAGGTGTCGACGAGAAGCCCGAGCCTTCCATCTGGGGCTCCAAGTTGCCTTTCCAGACGCTTGTGGGCGACTACTCCAACGAAACCGGCGCTTGGGTGCACGACGTGACCTTCAACAAGGACGGCCAGGGCGAGTCTTTGGCGTACGTGACCCACGACGGCTCCATTTCGGTGGTTTACCCTGGCGGAGAGGGCCAGCCTCCCGCTGCCTTCATCACCATCAAGACCAACTACTTGCCATTCAAGTCGCTCCTCTACTCGGGCAACAGAATCATTGTGGGCGGCCACAACTGTAACTTGATTGTGTTTGAGGGTGACCAGAACGGCTGGCACGAGGCCTTCCACGTAGAGAAGCAGAAGGACTTGATCCACGACGTGCCTGCTGTGGAGGAGGACCAGGAGATCTCGAGTCACGACGCTCTCAACATGTTCAAGCAATTGGACTTGAAGGGTAAGGCCAGCCGTCCTAACCAGAAGGGCAGCGGCAAGGCTTTGAGCACCATCAACCAGAACACCATCGCCAGTATCAAGTGGTACGAGGGCGGCAAGGTCTCCACGTCTGGTATCGACGGTAAGATCGTGATCTTCTCGGTCTAAGCACGTCTTTAGTAAAACGATAGACATAGTGAACAGTGTAGAGTAGAGGTTACGAATGAAAGGCGGGCTCCAAGGGTGTCTGTCAGAAATTGAGCTTTGGTATTGGGTTATCTTCAGGAATGTTTGGTTCAGAAGCAGAACTGAAAATATGGTTTTTCATCATGTAGACACCTTGCCTTGGAAACCGAAGGTTTCGCCTGAAACCGGCGCCTTCCAACACTACTGGTAAAAAAGAGCAGATCAACTGGATGTTAGAAGAAAATCCAAAAATGACAAGTCAGCTGGTGATGCATGTTTTTCCGAGGCTCAGGGTTCGCCAGGAAGTATGTTGTGTAAACAATCATCAGTATAATGTCTTGAGATCGACATACCTTTGGTTAGCACGAGTCAACAGGGAAAAAGCCGAAATCATAAACGAAGAATTCCTATTTGTACTGTTTTGTCCTGCATGTACCCTCAGTTAAAAGAAGGTTGGTAATCATTTCGGCGTCTTGGAAGAAGACATACCTTTGGTGATGGTGTAGCGAGATGGCAGAAAAAAGTGATTTTATGTGTTGGGGCGGGTAACCGCGAAAGACGTGCAGGGCCGGTCTCTGAGGGTCAGAGGTGGTGGATTTTTAGGGTTGGTTTTTTGAGGGCATTTTTTTGATTTTTTATTTTTATTGGTTGTTGAGGAGGAGATTTTTTGAATTGAGTGGGGTCTGAAGTGTTTGTGTGTTTGTGGGTGCAGAAGGGTGGCTTCATGTTTGGCTGCGAAAGATGGAGTGGTAGGGTGTTAGGCGATCAACGATATTTGGATTCCGCAAATATTTGGTTTCTGTTCTCTATTTGATATTCTGTACTTGATTAAAATATAAGTCGAGCAGAGCTGATTCTGCCATGATTTGCTTCATGGAGTTCCCTCGGCCCTGAACTTCGATGCATGTGTGGACATCATCACGGCTATGCTTCCAAGCTGTTTTGACTCGCTAGTTGAGAGTCAAGATTTTTGGAATGGGCAATTACTGCTTGTATATGCTTGTGTAGTAGTATGGTGAGATCCTCCAGTGTGTTGAACGGTGTTTACCTCTCAACCTGTCATTCTACTCCATCACTCTTGAATATCGTTACTTTTCAACCATTAACGAGACTTGCAAAAAGTGAATTAAAGCAAACATTGAGATCACTGTTTTGATAAGTTCCTGTAAACATCCATCTGCTTTCTTCAGAACGACTGCCAATTCTTTGCAGAAGAACAATTGCCATTGAACATCGTGTAATACAATTGTCCAAACCGCAACATCCATTCATTCTAACAAATCTTCCACAATTGAAACTCCCAAAAAACGGTGTGATTGCCCACCCTAGCCCTGCTCAATCCTAGTGACTGCGAGTCACTCCTCTGCGTATCACAAAGTGCTTAAACTTTCGTAAATATGCTCCTCGAAAGCACACGGTTTGTGCCATTCTTCCTCGGTCGAAGCCCTTAATCACTACAATCCAAGTCGCTAACTCCCCAAAACTAACTAAAATCACCAATTCTCATAATACCCTCCAACAATGCCTTCATCCCACCAATGAAAACCTCTATATCCCACTCCGCCAGCCCATTTCACCGTCTCCGTCTCCGTCCACAAATCTCAAAACCAACTTCAAATTCCAACTGTCAAATTCCCAAAATCTCCCCAAATCCGCAGAATCCCTCCTTTTCTCCCATGCACCCGCAAATAATATCCTCATACCCTCCCTCGTAATGGCATATAGTTGCGGCGAGCAGCAGCCACACGCTTAAGCGAGATAAGCGAATCTCCCCCCACCGGCCAAAAACGCAAACCCAAACGTAAAAAATATTTCTCAAACAGGCACGGCCAGAAAAACTATAAATACGGCCCGTCCCCCAACAATCAAATTTTTTAAAAATCCCCCAGCAATCTCCCGCCCCAACCGCACCGGTCCCTGCGCAGACAGGCATACGGCTCACAGCGTACATCGCAGTGACAGAAGCTACCTACCACCTCCCTTATCAATGCCCATACTGAAGCTGGACCTGCTGCCTGTGCTCAAACGACAGGCGGGCGGAAGAGACGTGGCTGCTGGCCAATCAGAAACCGTTCCGTTGCTCCGGGCGCTGCCGGAAAATCTGTACTTTGGGCCTCGTTCAGCAAGCAGAGAAAGACGCCTCAACCACCCCAAAACAACCCTGGAGTTTGGCCGCCGGGGTCTGGGGCTGCCTGTTCTCAACAACCGCCGCATGCTGGTTTCTGCATTGGAGCTCCACAAAACCGGCCGGAGCCAGCTAAACATGCCGTTTTTCCAGAGACTTCTTTCTTCGGGTTACACGGTGCTGAATCCGATGGGATCCTCCCACGACTTGGCCAGTTTTGCCTTTTCCGATACGGGCTCTGTCGGCCTGGCGGATGTGGAGAACGACGACTACGAAAGACCGTTTCGCCGCATGAGTGTGCTCAATGAATTGAGACCAGAGAAGCTCATTGGAGACTGGCTGCCTTTGGCAGACTGGAAAGCCGGCTACGTGGACCCCAAATCCGCCAAAAGCAAGCTCCGCAAGTTCTACACCGACCAGAACGAGCTCATTGAGCGGTTTACTGAAATCGACAATTTCTTGGACTACGGCAAAATCCACTTGAACATGTTGAATACCTATACTGACCCAAAGAACCCAAGCAAGCTTCTGCAGCTTGACGAGGAGCCGGAGCCGGCGCTGGAGGCCATGGAACAGTCGAACTCGAAATCTAGACTCAATGCTGAACCTGGCAATATCAGGGAAGGCGGTCAGTTTCTCGGTTACGACGAGGAACAGTCCTCTCAAAGCGTGCTTGTGGCTATTTTGGTCAATTTCGCCGTCAACACCGTGCTTTTGATTGGAAAAATCATCATCTCGCTCTTGACAAACTCCCTTTCTGTGATCGCCTCGTTGGTCGATTCCGTGCTTGACTTCCTTTCCACCTTCATCATCTACATCGCCAACAGGCTCTCCAACAACAAGAACTGGCGAACACAGATCTTGTATCCTATTGGCCGAACGAAGCTCGAGCCGTTGGGAATCCTCATCTTTTCCGTCGTCATTATCATCTCTTTTTTCCAGGTTGGCCTTGAGTCTTTCAAGAAGCTTTTCCTCAGTAAACCTGAAGAAAGAGTTATTGTGGAAATCGGCATCGATGCAATTGCTATCATGCTTGCCACTATCGGTGCTAAAATCATCTGTTGGGCTTGGTGTATAACCTCCAAATCCAGTTCAGTCCAGGCTTTGGCACAAGACGCCATGACTGATGTCATTTTCAACACCGTCTCCTTGATCATGCCTACTATTGGCCACTATGCTGGCATCTGGTGGGCAGATCCGCTTGGTGCCCTCATTCTTTCCGTCTACATCATCATTAGCTGGGGATATACAGCATTTGAGCATATTGATAACTTGACAGGCGCAGTTGCCAGTGCCACAGATTATAAGGTGGTTTTGTACTTGGCGTATCGGTTTGCTGAGTGTATTAAGCAAATCACCGCCCTCAAGGTGTACCATGTGGGTGACAATTTGAATGTGGAGATCGACGTCGTCTTTGACACAGAAAATTACAACTTGAGCTTCAAAGACGCCCACGATATCGCCGAGGCGCTTCAGTACGCCATTGAGAGCTTGCCCATGGTTGAGCGTGCTTTCGTCCATATCGATTACATGGAGGGCAACTTCAAGGGCCATCTCACGTAAGATGCCTTAGCTCAGCTCAATGGGGAATTCCAGTTGCATTATGCCGACAAGACTGTCTCGGTAATTTGTGAGCAAGTCGTCGGTGTTGTCCTGGCAGATTCTTGTCAACTTCTCCACGAGCTGCTTCGACTTTACTAGCGCATCTTTCCATGTCGATTCCTTGAGCTCATTTTGATCGTTTTGATCGTTCAAATAGTGAAGCTTGTCGTGTGCTTTGAGATGGCTGAGGCCCTTGAGCAATACGACGCAACCAAAATAGAAGAAAAAGTGGATCTGGTCCGACAAGTACGCATAGTACGAGTCGTTCTGGATCTTTATAGAAAAATCAACAAGGTAGTAGGCGCTCGAGACGATCTGGCTTATGCACTTTCTGTCACAGTCTGTGAGTGACGTCAATAATCTGTCTTGAAGACTCGCTGGTGAAGGTGGCTGTCTCTTAGAAGCCCCCACCTTCTCTTGCGTGTAGCTGAGATGCACAAGTATGAGGCAAAATGAAAGTGTGGACTCAACAAACGAGATCGCAGGTTGGGAAAATAAATACTCCCATTGCTCATACCATCCTTTGATCTCCTCCTTCACGCCCTTGAAAGCAAGCTCCACTTGCTCTGGGTCATTTGCCAGTGCACCATTGCAGCTGAGCTGGATGTAGTTGTAAGTAATCAACAAAATGCCAATTTCACTTACCATACGGCCATCGAAGTTGGTAGCGCTAGGTAGGCTTAGGGCTAGATTGCAGTGGCTAAGTCTGATCTGATCGACAATGCACATTCTTCCGCTGAAAATACAGCTTGCCAAGTGATTGAGAATGAGGTGGTTGTAGATGCGGTACATCGTGAGAGTCTGGTATTCGGTAGAATCGAACTGGTTGAAAAGGAATGTAAAGTTAGGCGTTTCGTCTTCTGCTCTGTGGAGCAATACTCCGAAGTTGGATTTGGAAATGAATGTTGTAAGTGCGGTGCCTGAAAGGCTCCATGAGTCCATATTGAGCTCTTTAATGCTGACCTCATCATCAAGAAGAGGGTCATCGTCGACGGTGCTGCAAGCTATTGAGGACAAGGACATCGAGTAGATTGAGAGAATAACCATGGCTTGGAGGTCTTCGATATCGCCCTTTGAGTCGCCACAACCCTGGAAACAAGCGACTTTGAGAAGCGTCTTGTTGAGGTCTCGAAGCAAATGCTGGATCAACAATTTGTATGTGATTTTCTTTCTGCGGTGGCTATCAACGTCACCAGGGTTTGGCTTTCCATTGAGGGAGTATCTCAACGACAAACAGCAGCACGTCGTTATCAAAAGAGAAGACTTTTTCCTGACGCTGTCTATTAAGTCCTCTGTAGACATATCGCTAGGAAACAGGACCCATCTTCCGTAGTTACTCCTGAAGTCGTTCATAAGGTCAATAACCTCGTATTTGGTGAGCACGCCAGCGTCTATAATATCACCTTCACTCAGCACAATTGCGGGTTGACCGTGTGAAGCTCTGAGTTTGAGAAGATTCTGCACTGGCCTGGACACAGATCCTGGGTTGTCTGCCAACAAACTAAATGGAGATGTTTCAAAACCTTTTGACGGACCTAGAATAATATGTGGAGGCTCTTCTTCAGCCTGTTGCAGCACGTCCGTTGCAAGGGCGTCTGTCACCGAATCCTGGATCACCTGAGGTGTGACAGGGAAAGTCTGTGGAGTAGGGTGATCTTTCATCGTCGAGGCTGCATCAAGGAGCAATTTCACGTCACTGCTCAAAATGGACTGACCTGGCGATTGTGTAGCTCCATTCTGCGCCTGGAGAAGCTCCAAAATTCTGGTTACAGACCCGCATAAGAAGTCGAGTTTCTTGGACGAATTGTGATCCGTATCGACCCTAGAAATGTAATGGTCGTTATTTCCAGGAATAACCTCCACAGTCTGGTTCCCGCTCAAGTGCTCGGGCACTCCATTGACAATTTTCACTCCGGGATTTGCCGATCTATAGGCTGTCTCGAAGGAGCATTGGATGCCCACACTGAGACACCGCAAACAGCAAATAGCAGCAGGGGAGCTTCTGAAACACCTAGTCTTTTGTTTTCGACAATAGTCACATGCTCTGTACGCTCTTGTCGGTTGGATTGATCTTCCGTTCGATTTTTCATGGTCCGCGGGAGCTTCCGCGGGAGTATCTTTGGGAGTATCATTCGGCGTGTTCTTCCCCCTTTTAGCTCCCAGAGTAGTCAGCGATGTTGATGATCGCTTCATTGGTACGTTTCAAGGGAGGAAAAATGGACCTTTGGATGATGCGCTGGTGCTTGTTGGTGCTTCTTATCTTTGTCTTATCTCGGTAAGTACAGGAACATTGGTCTGGCAGTAAGGCGTCGTCGTGATAAGACGGAATTCTGGGGTAACAGGGTCCAGAAACCACAGAAACGTAAACGCCACAGTGAGCAAGCCACATGGGCATAGCATGGAAAGGATGTTTGTTTTTGGTGCCTTGTTGATTGCAGCCATATCATCCGAGGAACCACTCAGTATGCCTGATGCACTCGTCTCGAGGCATTGTCCAGTGAATGAGCCCGGTTTCGGTAACCTGTCCTAGATGGGGCTGTCTTAAGCGCTTAAACGCCTCGACCCCTTGGCGCTTCAATGTTAAGACCTGAAGCTATACTCACAAGCAAATGCCTTTAATGATCATGGAGAACGACGCTTCCGTAGCTCAAGAATCAAAGACTGAGTTTCATATTCGAACTCTCAAACAGCGATGCTTTCACGCTCCTAAACTCCTTGTAGCTGACTTTCCCCTCGCCTCACACTATCTTGTAGCATACCTCGGTCTCGTCCTCCTTCACGATCAACCCTATCAGCGTAAGCCGGGCACCCTTGTTGATTCCCATGTGGTCAAAGTCAATCATGCCTGTGTAGTTCACCTTGCCGGCCTTGGTTGTAGAGGAGTTGCTCAAGTGGAACAGACCCAGAAACACGATGTTGTAGTCTTTATCGGAAGTCACCACTCTCTTTGGCTTCCCGTCACTTGAAGTGACCTCGTGAACACGCCCACTTGACTTTTCAGACGTTTTCCTCATTGCATCATTCGGATCAAGCCGATCTAGCTTGAACCCAAAAGCCGTAAGTGCCTTGTCAATGTCGCCCCACCAGGGAAGTGGAGATATCGCCCAGCGCCACGTAAGATGCGTTCTTCCGTCGGATTTCGTTATCGTGATCTTGGGTCCGTGGATCGTGGGGTGTTCGGTCTCGATCCAGCTATCGAAGAAGTCCAGATCTTCCGTTTTGAGCAAAAGCGGAATGCCAAACGTGTCCCTCACGAGCTTCAGGCGGAAAAGCTCGTCCAAAACCAGAAACTGGACGTTTTGCAGGTGTAGGTCATCCGTGAAGTTGGGGATGCTCTCCACATACTCGTAGAACTCGGGATCAAAGTACCTGAGGTACAGCGGGAAGCCGAATTTGCGGTCCCAGGGCCAATTGAAGCTGAGCCAAAGAGGCAAAAACGCACACTGAGACGCGTTGTCCAGTTCGGACAGCGATACCTTGTAGACCTTGGATCCTAGGTATAGAAGCATTGTAAAGGAACTGGACGCTGCCACAAGGAGCACGACCGTCAAAAAGCTAGTTTGCGGTTTCTCCATCGTTCCTTTGCCATTGAGGATGCCGGGGTTCTCCTGGAGTGTCTTTTTGACGAGGTTCTGTTTCATCATTCGTTCGTACTGGGACATTTTGGGGTGTTTTAGGACAAACGATCTTCGAAAAAGGATTGTAGTGTTTGGATTGAAGCGGTTTCTGAAGCTATATAGGCCTATCGGTAGCCTAAGGGCCTTTTGTGTGGAGATCATGGTGGATGTGTAAAGAAGGATATGAGGTGATGTCTGGGGAATATGCGCACCATGATAGTAGGTTATGGCGGGGTGGTCCATGTACTTGAAGTGGTCAATGAATTTTACAGAATACAGATAATTGGTTTACGGTGAATTGTGTGATTGGCGTTTGTGTAAAATACAGATCTTGTTTGTCGTCACGGCCAATTGGCGGAATCGTATTGGGGAAGTGGCTAGTGCACTCGTTTCCACTGGTCGATGTACATTAATCCAATTGGAATGTCTCAGTGACGTGTCATAAAGGGGTTGTCGTCAATTGTAGCAAGGTCTTTGTTTGGAGTTTGAGTTTAGGAGAAATTGATGGCTTTGGGTTGGTCGACCGCTGCACCCATTTTGAGTAAGTGTCTTGGTGGATCGTATTCGTAGAAGCAGTTTGAAGCAAAATCCTCTTGAAAACGTCTTGCAGCTTGTAATTTCCGGCTTTGAGTCATACGACATAGGCTATCTTGCAATCAGCGGCCCTTCTATCTCAATACAAGTAGAATTCAACCAACATCCCCATCAGAATTCAATTCTTTGCCTGAGTTCCGTTCTCCTTCTTCACCGTGCGTCACATCAATCGCCTAAAAATATCCTCCGCCGCTACTCATCAATGTCAGCCCAGTTGGTCGACTTGTCCTCCATCAGCTCAAACATCTGCCTCACCTCCTCCTTGATCTTCCGCTCCTTCTCGGCCTGCTCGGCCTTGAGCTTCTCCTGCTTCTGTTTCTCTTCCAAAAGCTTCTTCTGCTTGGGCGTCATGTACTTGCCCTTTGGTTCCTGAGACTCCCTAGCTGGTCTTTGATCCTTAGACCTAGGCTTCTGCTCCTTATGCTCCCTGTGATCTTTGGACTCCTTGTGATCTCTGTGTTTCGACTCTTTAGGGCCCTTGGGTGCCTTTGGCTCCTCGGCAGGAGCTCCTATTCTCATCGCTAGAGACTTGGCAGCATCTGTCATGGGTCCTTTCTCATAAAGCTTATCCTCGAACAAATCCTCCTCTTCTTCGTCCGAAACGTCCTCCCAGTGCTCCTCCTGATTACCCTCGTCTTCTTCATGCTCCTCGTGATTCCTGGAGTTTGGAGCACCTCTCTGTTGTCTAGGAGCATCACGATGAGTATCCCTGTTTCTGTTTCGCTTGGATTTCCGTTTGGGTTCATCCTTAACGCCGAGCCTGTCGCCAAAGGATCTAGCCAAATCCAGCACTTCTCCAGTTTCAGAACTCTGTGGCGGCGTGGGAACCTGTTCTTCGTTTCTCTTCTTCAGCTTTGGTTTCAGCTCTTTCTTGGGTTCGTCCTCTTCAGGCTCTGCAGACGCCCATTTTGATAAAACCGATGTGGCGGGTTTTGGCGATGATTTTTTGATTTCTGGAGCCGCTTGCTTGATTTCTGGCTCCTCGGCTGCCGCAGCCCATTTCGATTGAAGCCCAGGCATCGTGGTTTAGTAGTACTTAAGAATGCGCACCTATATGGTGGACTATCAACAAGTCTGAAAGTGGACACAGAGTGGAGGAAATGATGGAATGGTTGATTTTTTGGAAATGCGGTGATGGCTGAATTTTGGACTTGCGTGCTACTTTGTTGATTCTGTGTTGGAAATGTTTTGGTACATCGGGGTCACTAGTAGCAGGGAAGTACCCTCAGCTCAATGAATGGTATGAGGAGGTCAGAGAAATTTTGATGTATTCTTTCATTCAATTAGCAGAACTGCCATTTTATAGGCTTTCGGTTTTTCAGCTTTTCAGGCTTTCAGCTTTTCAGCTTTTCAGGTCATTACAGTGCTTCAGCTGTATCGTCAAATAGTGGATTAGATGCCATTGATAGTAAGCACGCTTCTCCATAAATCTGTTTCCTGATGATATTGAAGGCTTCGCTTGAAGCTGATGAAACTTCATATCAAAAGAGGCAGAAGCAAGTAGTAGGTGAAAGATTCTGCGTTTTCCGTATGCATCAATTGTGTCTTTTGACGAAGGTTGACGAGAGCGAGCTTGGCTTCCTAGACTTCCTTAAGCTCATAATGCCTTAAACTGATAAAATCGACATTTGCTTGAGTTTGGTGGTTAACTGATTTCGACTATCTTTGATGCATATGAAAAGACTAAACCCAGTATAAATCAGACCCCACCAACTTTTCACACCAAACCAATGCTTCCACTACTAAAGCTGAGTCAACAATTCGAGCCTGACAACCTCCTGGCGCAAACTCTATACCTTATGTGATTCACATTTACGATCATCATGTGAACTACGAAATCCCCCACGAGTCAGAAACCGATTTTCCAAACCAATCTCTCTTCTTTCTCTAAATCCTTTTTAAACTTTTTTCAATCAAATGTCACAACCCTTCAGTCCCTCCCCACTTGACACTTCCACATGTCCATTGACTTTCACGATGCACCGGCTCAACGGCCCGGTACCGGCTAAGCGCATATGCCCTGGCAGTCTTCTGTCAGCATGCGCGAACGAGACCGCAAGGCTGGACAATCTGGAGATTTGACTGAAAACTGGGTTTTTCAGGATTTCAGAAATATCAACTTCCATACAAAATCGGCCTCTTTTCGTTCCCTAGAAGCTATCCCGATCGGAGGTCGGTGCAGCGCAATTTAACAATGAGCATGCCAAGGGTATAGGCTGAATTTTCAGTTACCATGAAGTCCAGCCGAGTGAGGCTGATCTATGGATTGACCGAACGGACACTTAGAAGGAGATTTTGGCAAAAGTCTGGCATCTCCAATTCGTCCAAAACAAAAATCCACCTTATAAAAAACTGAAGAATCGACTAAATGATGCCTGCTCTTTGTGGCTGCAACTTTCAGGAACCACTACACAAGCATGTGGGCTTGACGATCCGGTCATCCCAGTCACTTCACACCAAACCAGCTTTTCCAAGCTCAACTCTCCCAAAATCTCTACCAACTTTCAATCTCAAAACCTAAAAACTACTCAATATTAATGTCCCTCCCCCTCCTCTTCTCCCTCCCACCAGACCCTGACTAGCAACCTCCAATCGGCCGGCCTGGATGCTCCGCTATTGGCCCAATTCACTCAATCCTAGAATTCCACCGAAAAGACGCCCCAAACTTTCCACTGGACCTACTCCGACGCCGACCGAAAAGCACAGTTTCTAAAACGCCATTACTAATCTGATGTAATTGCTGCGACCGTAAGGGCTGCACTACAGTGCGGGCCAGCTGGCCACGCTTAGTCACAATTGATAAACCAAGGCCGGATTCGTAATCTCCGTGAAATTCTGACCAAAACGAACCCCCTAAACCGCCATAAATAACCAGTCTGTGCCACCCGTCAGGAGGTGGTGACATGGACCTCAGCTGACCGCGAGAAAACCAACTTTTCCTCTTCCACATACCACATCTTCTTTATGTCCCAATACTCCAACTTCAACCTTTCTTCCGAATTGCCCGCCTGGAAGCGCCTCGAGTCTGTGTACGAGCAGGTCGGCAAGACCCTCAAGGTCAAGGACGAGTTCGCCCATGATCCTGAGAGATTTGCCAAGTTCTCTGAAACCTTCAAGAACTTCGACGGCCTGGAGATTCTCTTTGATTTCTCCAAAAACATCATCAACGACGAGGTCAAGAAGGACCTTGTGGCCTTGGCCAAGGAGGCTGGTGTGGAGCACCTCAGAGACGAGATGTTCAAGGGCTCCAAGATCAACGAGACCGAGGACAGAGCCGTGTACCACGTTGCCTTGAGAAACAGAAAGCTCAAGGAGATGAAGGTGGATGGCGAGAACACCGCCCCTGAGGTCGACTCCGTGCTCAAGCACATGAAGGAGTTCTCGGACGATATCCGTTCTGGCAAGTGGACCGGTTTCACCGGTAAGGCCATCACCGACGTGGTGAACATTGGTATTGGTGGCTCCGACTTGGGTCCTGTGATGGTCACTGAGGCCTTGAAGGCCTACTCCAAGGAGGGCTTGAACGTGCACTTTGTGTCCAACATTGACGGCACCCACTTGGCCGAGACCTTGAAGGGCTTGAGCCAGGAGACCACCTTGTTCTTGATTGCCTCCAAGACCTTCACTACTGCTGAGACCACCACCAACGCCAACTCCGCCAAGGCCTGGTTCTTGGAGAAGGCCCAGCAGGACGACATTGCTAAGCACTTTGCTGCTCTTTCCACCAACGCCGAGCAGGTGGCCAAGTTCGGTATCGACACCAAGAACATGTTTGGCTTTGAGAGCTGGGTCGGAGGCCGTTACTCCGTCTGGTCCGCCATTGGCTTGTCTGTGGCCATCTACATTGGTTTCGACAACTTCAACGACTTCTTGAAGGGTGCCGAGGCCTTCGACGAGCACTTCACCTCCACCCCATTGGAACACAATGTCGCTGTTCTCGGTGGTCTTTTGTCCGTGTGGTACAACAACTTCTTTGGCGCCCAGACCCACTTGGTTGCTCCTTTCGACCAGTACATGCACAGATTCCCAGCCTACCTCCAGCAGTTGTCCATGGAGTCCAACGGTAAGTCTGTCACCAGAGGCAACTCCTTCACCAACTACCAGACCGGCACCATCTTGTTTGGTGAGCCAGCCACCAATGCCCAGCACTCTTTCTTCCAGTTGGTGCACCAGGGTACGAAATTGATCCCCGCCGACTTTATCCTTGCTGCTCAGTCCCACAACCCAATCGAGAACAACTTGCACCAGCGCATGTTGGCCTCCAACTTCTTTGCTCAGTCTGAGGCTTTGATGGTGGGTAAGGACGAGAACCAGGTGCAAAAGGAAGGTGCTACTGGCGGTTTGGTGCCTCACAAGGTCTTCTCTGGTAACAGACCCACCACCTCCATTTTGGCCCAGAAAATCACCCCAGCCGCTTTGGGTGCTTTGATTGCCTACTACGAGCACGTCACTTTCGTCGAGGGTGCCATCTGGAACATCAACTCTTTCGACCAGTGGGGTGTTGAGTTGGGTAAGGTGTTGGCCAAGGCTATCGGCAAGGAGTTGGACGAGTCCGGAGACGTTTCTGACCACGACCCATCCACCAACGGCTTGATCAACCAGTTCAAGAAGTGGAGCTCGTGACTATCCAAGCCACGGTTGTAAGACCTGTGCTTTTGAGTTAGAATAAATGTTATGATGTACTGTTAGAGTTGGTGTAGGAGGTTGGTGGTGTGGTGAGGCTGTCATTGAAAGGAGTCTTTTGTAGTGGATTCTCTGGGTACTCTCAAGAGGGTTTAAGATGATTGATATCTCAATTATTTGATCTTCCGAAAATTCTAAGAACTAACTGTATTTGATGCTTGAATACCATTGGAATGATAAAATATGTCATACTTTCAAGCATTATGCTAAATTGTCTACTGTCATCTAACACTTCATTGTCTGCTTATCAGCACGGCTGAATTGCTGCAAATGAGATACACCGTCTATATATACATACCAAAGCCAACAAAACCTTTATTTATTTTTTGGAAACTGTTCTTTCTTGATCTATGTATACATTTGTATTGTTGAAGAGCCAAATAGAAGAAACACAGATTTGTCTGCTTTCCTTCTTAATATATACCCATCTCAGTGCCTCAATGGCTGCAACCGATGAGCACAATACACCACAAGCCATCCACCACACCATGGATTCCCCTCACTAAAACACCAAAAATCATCAAAATCTCCACAATCTCCAAAACCCCCAATCCCTTAATCCAAAAAATTCCCAATCTCTTCTTCCCTTCTGCCTTTTGTACATCCATCTATCACCTGGAGGCTCTCATCTGCAGGCACAACCAGTCTTTTTCCATGTCATCAGAAGAAATCGACATCCCACGGCCGCCAGAGGGCGACGACGGCTTGGAAAACCCCATGAGGGCGGTCGTCGTGGTCAATTCGCCCGACGTGCCGGAAGGCGAAATGGAAGAACGCATGCTTGACTGTGTTCAGACGTTCGATGAGGTGGACCAGTTTTTCGACAAGTTCGATGAGGAGGTTGCTGTGCCCAACGAGTCCCACATCAAGTACGAGGTTGGCAGCGACGGGCTTGTTGTGATTATCGTGGATCTGCGGAAACTCAAGGATACGGTGTTGGCGTTCATCGACAAGTTTGCAGCTGAGGTGGGGGACAATGCTAGAGACGATCCCGAGGAGGCGGCGCCCAAGAGAGCCAAGAAGTGATGTACAGTAGAATAAACGGAAAGGTAAGATGGTGTAGGTGGGTGGTGCTACTTTGGTGGTGCATTTGTGGTGGTGGTGCTTATGGTGAGGATGAGGTTGATGAGGTGGATGAGGTGGATGGTACGATGAAGGAGTGGTGGATCGGGTAGGGTTTTTGATATTTGTGAAGAGAGGCGGAGTTTTGAAGACGGATGTTAAAGATGAGAAACACTATAGGTGAGTGGTTGTTGACCTTCCCATGTATTGCTGTATGGCTCGTTGGACTGCCTTAATATGGGACTATCGATCACTATCAGGTCTGGTGATTTTAGGGTATCGGCTTTGATTTGAAAAACGATTTAAAAATGCGTTGGATTAATGGAAGTTGAAGTCAGTTGTGCAAATGTCGATGGTTTAGTGAGTTCACTTCAGTCCTCTTATGGTCATAATGGATGCAATTCAGAAAAGCTTAGTGCCTTTCACTCCTCAACCTCTCCCACAGATGATAGAAATCTTCCACAATAATGAAAAGTCCAAAAAATGTTGCGTCTATGATGCTGATCGCTAAATTGTGCCAGAATCATTATCTACCACACCTCATTGCATTGACATGATCCCCAACCAGAAACCATCTTCCACTCATTGACCACAAAAAACACTTCAGACGTCAAAATTAAAATATAACTATTCTCTTGACTTCTCTTTTTCTTTTGCTCCACTTCAATTAATTCCACCGAAGCCCATACCTGCCTACCGGTCCGTTTCTCGGGGTACTACCCTTCACTAAACCCCACACCAGACCCCACAAAAACCACTAGAAAACAGTCTTCCACCAAATACCCACCCAAATCCAGATATCCCCAATATCCCATCCCCAACTCCACAAAACCACCATACTTAATCCTATCACCTCCGGAGGTGGACCTCGGGACCTGCACACTCGCGACCCTAAGTAGTGAGGTATCAACTACTCCAGATACAACTACACCACAATGGAGGACTGGAGAAGAATTGATATCGACGCCCTCGAACCGGAAAACCACCTTTCCAAGGAGGACCTTGTGCCGGACTTGCCTGCTGTTTCTTACCAGGACATCGAGGCTGTTTCCAAACAGGTGAAGCAGCAGTTGTCGCTGGGTCAGTTCGTGCCAGCCTTGCAATTGGCTTTGGACAATCCTCCTTATGTTGCCGACGAGCCCACCAAGAACTTGCACGCTGAGACCGTGTTTGAGGTGCTTGTGTCGATCAAAAACAACAAGAACGTGAATGAGTTCAGCAATATCGTCAAGCAGTTGGACCTGGACCAGCAGGACAACTTGGTGAAGTACTTGTACAAGAACATGAACACGACGTACGGCGCCAAGCAGGGCGGTTTGTTGTTGAACTGGTTCGAGAAGACCGTGGATGTGACTGGCTTGGGCCCTGTTGTGCGTTTCTTCACCGACAGAAGAACCGTGTAATGAAAAGTATAGACCAATGAACGACTTCGTATGGGGCAGTGTAGGTGCCTTTGTTTTAGAGGGATTCGATGAATTCAAACTTTCAAGGCAATTGGAATATTGATAGAGAGCATACGTTATGACTCTTCGAATGCGTAGAGCTATTCAATGCCTATTATCGAGAACTCCCATTTTTGTCGTAGTACTACAATTGCCTAAATTACCTCCTAATGCATCGTCTCTTCATCGTGTCATATTATCAATTAGGTATCTAGTTACATCATGGGGTATTTCGTTATCATGCCGTTACTTTGAGCGGCTCAGTAAGAGAGTGCCTCTTGTTCTGTTCTCTGTTGGTATTAGCCTCTTTAAGAGGACTGCTCTGGGTTTCGTTTTTCCTCTTCTCCTTGAGATACGTCTTGTAGTCGGTATCCTCGTGAATTACAGGACGAAACAACCTGGGTACGGTCTGCTCATTCAAGAGCTTTTTGTACTTCTGCTTGTAATCTGAAACCTTGGTTCGAAGTCGGTTCTCCTCCTCATGAGACAGGGTCCTGAGTTCCTGGAGATTGCTGTCGAGATGTTCACACTTGGATTTGTATTTTTCGAGTTCCTTGACTTTTTCTTCAAGTTCTGTGATTCTGCTTTTATGGGCTGCTTCTGTTGACTCCATGGTTTTTATGTCACTGGCCAAATCCTCATTCCGACCCTTCCACTTTCTGATCATATTCAGGGCTTTCTCGTACTTCTTTTCAAGATGCTCGTTGTCGTTGCGCAAGTTCTTGATCTTCTTTTTGAGGAACTCGTGGTTCTCCTTGTGTGACTCTTCCTGCTTCTTCATTTCGTCTTTGAGGGTATCGTAGGACAGTTGAAGTTCGGTTAGTTCAGCGCTGGAGCTTATGGAATCCAGTGAGATCTCTTCAAAAGCGTCACCCACACGTTTGAAAAGCGCTCCTTCTTTGGGTAACTTTTCCTGGAAAAGTCTGTATTTCTCCTTCTCATCCTCGAGCATTTTGTCCAGCGATTCAAGCCTGCTTTGAAGGCCGACAACTTCCTTATCTTTCTCAAACTTCACCTTCTTTATTTCCTTTTCAAGCTCCACGACCCTGTTGTTCTTCTTCTCGATCTGCTTGTTCAACTCATCGCCTTTCTCACTGAGAAGGGCAATCTGCTCCTGGATCTGTTTCTGAAGCTGTTCGTTTTCGTCAGTCTTGGCTTTGAAACTCTGCTCTGCTGCTTCCATCTCCTCTTTGATCTTTTGTGCCGTTTCTTCAGATTGCTCTTTAGCAGAATGGGCTGTTACAACCTCCTCTGCCTTCTTCAGTAAATCCAGTTCTAAGTTGATTTTTTCCAGACGAAGCAAACTCAATTCTTCGGCCGCTTCTTCGAACAACTGCTTGAATCTGGTGATTTGCTCTTTTAAAGGCACAGTCGCTAGGCGTGCTTTCTTGACCTCGTCTTTCAAGCCATTCACCTCTTCCTGGATCTGGACCACTTTTTCGTCTTTCTTCTCCTGTTTCTCTGACTTGGTATCGTCCTTCTGAGCCTGCCGTAACTTCTGGATAAAACTCAGCTCGTTGGAAACTGGTCTGACACTTTGAGCTTTGGATAACGGTACTTTGGATGCTTGTACCTTAGGAACATTGAGTTTCGGCTGCTTCAAAGGCTGCTTGGATGGAACCATCGACGGCCTCTTTACGGCTCTTTTCTTGGGACTCAAGGACGCTGCTGTGGGTCTAGCATACAGCGGAAGAGCTTGAGGCCTAGTAGTAGCCATTTTCGGTTTCTCGTCCATTCTGAATCCTTTCACCACATCGGCAATGTTGTTCAACGACGACTTGATCAACGCCTTATCTCCCGTTTTGTCCAAATGCAACACAAACTTCAACTTCAGCAGACTGTGGTCGTTGAAGATCATGTTGGTGACCAAGTTGGAGGATCTCTTGTTGCTGGTTCTGTTAAGCAACGCTTGTGTGATGGAAGAAACGTTCAGATTGGCAAAAGCGTTGGAAGTAGCGGCATTGGCTTCGAACTTCTCGTTTCCCATCATATCGAGAATAGTAAGGTTTCCACAATCTGCCTTCAACGTCACTAGCATACAAGAACGACTCGAATGGGCATTTGTCTTTGTAGAAGCCGTATTTCTCAAGGAAAGCACTTTTTTGATATTCTCCTCGGAGCACGGACACCGCTTGAGCTGCTTCTCCACCGGCATGTGGCTCAAGTACAGCTTCCTGGTCTTGTTATCTAGTAAGTCCACAAAGAAGGTGTTGCAGCTGACCTCACAGGCTGACATCTGGCCATGGAGGGCACTGAAAACGTTCAAGTACTTTTTCAAAGTTGTAGTTTTGCCGCTGCCTGTGGGTCCTAGCAAAACCCATATTTCGTTGCCTGATCTCGAGAGATCTGTGGCCTGGTCCTGAATGGCTGCAAATGAGTACACCTTTCCAGCGTAGGCGACTTCTGTGGACGACTTTTCTTCAAATGCCGGTTTTTTCAGTTGATCCAGCGTCCATGTCGTCAAAACAATCGGAATCATGGTTTGGCCCGGTGTGTGTTTCGAATCTGTTGATAACAGTTGTGTAGTGCAGTGTTTACGATTGAGACGGATTTGGCAATATAAGCGGTTCGTCTACCGGGTGGGAACGGCCTGGGGAAATTGTACCGTAGAGAGAGAAATTGATGTTTTTCGTGAAATGGTTTAGATAAAATGGGAGATTTTCAAAAATGGAGTCGGTTCTTTAGTGGACTTGCTTGAAGCCGCAAGGTGAGGCTGGAGCCCCACCACACACTGAGAATGGGTAGTACCTTAAGGCGGATCTCATGGGGGATTTTGACAATTTGGCAATCATTCCAGATTATCAGTTTCTGAAGTAGAGTATATATCATTCAAACTTGATGGAGGCACTGTTGACTTTTCCATTAGCTCAGACACTTGACGTGATGGTTGCGAAAAGTGGTAGGTGGGGCTCAGATCTGGGGAAACTTAGAAAAGTTAATAATATCTTTTGACATTTTTCCGATCTGGCTCTTCAGCTGGAGATCCTCATTTCCAGCTATTGCAACGCTGTTTGACCATTATGTGACTTTCACTGAAAAGTAACTGACAAAACCTGTAATCAATATGGTACACGAACCCTGGGATCTCTATACATCACACAACCCCTTCAAGCTTCTTCGACAAGAGACACTTGTTTTGTTTCTCCGAAGAAGCCGAAGAATACTACAAAAATCATGGAGGATTGCCCCATTGCTCTGTTTAGGGTAAAGAGAGGAAGATGCAATAGCCGCAGTGCCGTCTGTATGTCCTGGTATCAGTGCCTCAGAGGACTGAACAAGAAATATCGGTTTGCTTCGTCGAAATAACTGCCAGACATTGGACCCCATTGCTCAATCTCTAAAACGGTATCTCCCAATCTTTGATGATGGAAAAATTTCTCTCAACTTTTCACTACCATCATCCTCTGTGACGTCAGCCTCATCGCCCGTATACCATTACCATCCCTGGTAGTCTGACCCGGTGAACCACCATTGGGCAATATACACCCAATTACACTCAATTGCCTAACCACCAAAATCAATATCTTCAATTCTTCAATCTGTTTGTCTCCTCCAGGCTAAACTGCTAAAAACATTACTAAGCTGCCCCACCGTGCCCCCACATTCCGGAAAAGTGTCGCACCGGCCCGTGGGGCATCGACGTATATCGCCGTTTGAAAACATACATATAGACTCAATGGGCTCCGAAGATGATGAAGATGGTCTAGATTGATGGATTATTGGAAGATGTGTGGGTATTGAGCCGATCCTTCCATGGCGTGATGAGAAACCCTAACTTCCACGGAAAACAGCAAAACCGAAAATCAATGCAATGTCCTCGTAGAATCGCCAGATTTCGCCACCATGCTTAGCCATTGAGTTTCCTAGACATCGGCGTAACTCACAATGGCTCATTCCATCTTCTCATTGGACAAAGTGGCTCAATTGGCTCTTAGCCAGGTACCAACAAAATATAAATATATAGAATCAGTTTTCATCAAAACCCCACTTCAATCATCAATGCCAAAAAAAAAAAAACCATCTTCTCCAAATGTATAAGGTTTTCAGCCGGGGCCGGAAGGAGTCTCGGTCCTGCCCCCACAGTGGGGTTGCCCCTCGCCTCACTATAAAAGGAGCCCGTACCCCGGACAATTGCTCCTAACAAAAAAATACCCGCCATGGCTACAATCACTTTAAACGACGGAAACAAAATGCCCCAGGTCGGCTTCGGCTGCTGGAAGGTCGACAAGGAGACCTGCGCCGACCAGATCTTCAACGCCATTGAGGTTGGCTACCGTCTTTTCGACGGTGCTCAGGACTACGGTAACGAGAAGGAGGTTGGTCAAGGTATCAACCGTGCCTTGGACGAGGGCATTGTTGCCCGTGACGAGCTTTTTGTGGTGTCCAAGTTGTGGAACACCAACCACGCTCCCGAGCACGTTGAGGAGGCTGTTGACAAGGTCTTGAGCGACTTGAAGCTCGACTACTTGGACCTCTGGTTGATCCACTTCCCCGTGGCCCTCAAGTACGTGCCTCCTTCCGAGAAGTACCCTGCCGGTCTCACGGGTCTCAAGGACGACAAGTTGCGTTACGAGGACGTGCCTATCTTGGACACCTGGAGAGCCATGGAGGCTCTCGTCAAGAAGGGCAAGGTTAAGTCCATCGGTATCTCGAACTTCACCGGTGCCTTGATCGAGGACTTGCTCAGAGGCGCCAAGATCCCTCCTGCCGTGTTGCAGATCGAGCACCACCCATACTTGCAGCAGAAGAGATTGGTGGAGTGGGTCCAGTCCAAGGGCATTGCCATCACCGCCTACTCTTCTTTCGGCCCCCAGTCGTTCCTTGAGTTGAACCACAAGGGCGCCCTCAAGATCCCTGGTTTGTTCGAGCACGAGGACGTTGCTGGCATCGCCAAGAAGCACGACAAAACCCCCGCCCAGGTGTTGTTGAGATGGGCCACTCAGAGAGGCATTGCCGTGATTCCAAAGTCCAACAAGACCGAGCGTTTGGTGCAGAACTTGGGTGTCAACGACTTCACGCTTACTGACGAGGAGCTTGCCACTATTGCCGAATTGGACATTGGCTTGCGTTTCAACGACCCATGGGACTGGGACAAGATTCCTCTCTTCGTGTAGACGATGTATGAAAACTAATAGAACGTTGTTGCACAGATGGCCTACAATACTCTTGAAAACTACTCCATTCATAGTAAATCACTCCGTAACTTTTCCTCCTTTTCATCCCCAAGTACGGCATTACTGCCTCTTTCCTGTCAATGACGCTCAAATAGCGTCCAATACAGCCTTACGGCCCAAATTCAACAACTTCAATCTCGACACAAAGTCGTCCCGGTTGATGTAAGCTCCACACAATCTTCTCTTTCCTGTAAACTCGGTTCTCGAGTGGAAGCAGCGCCAATTGTCGAAAATCAAGCACTGTCCTGGCTTCAATTGGTAGAACGTCTCGTTTTCTGGGGAACTAATAATCTTGTACCACAGTCTGATGGCCTTGTAGAACTTAGGAACATCCTCTGGATTCTCCCAGTTGTCCATACACGAACGGTCGCTCTGGTTCCAACGCACCTGAAGAAGCTTTCCTTGGTGGTCGAGCTTGAATACTGGTTGTGGAAGGTCTGGCTGGATACAAACCTTTTCTTCACCTGCCGAGTGAGCTGGAACCGGGATTCTGGTCAAGACCTCGAAACTCTCGGGATCCTCCTTCTTCAATTGCTCCGCACACTGGAAAGCGTCCACCAACGACGTAGTTCCGCCTTCTCCGTCGTGGAACAAAAGATGGAACAACTGGAGACCAGGGGTGTCGGACCAGTAGGTTCCATCTGTGTGAGACAGAATGTCAAAGTTCGTGTAGGCGGTGTCCTTCTTGGTCAAGTCAGAAGTAAAGTCCCAGAAGCCGCCGTAGTGGGTGGGACGGATGTACATGAGCTTCTCACACAACATCTCCGTGTCCTCGGGCGTCACGGGCACATGGTCGATCAAGGTGAAGCCGTACTTCCAGATCTTGAGGCACCAGTCCTTGATGGCGGCCTCGCCGTCGGTGGCATCGTCGGACGCCATGATCTCGCCGTAGTCGACACGTGGCATGTTGTTCTCGATATCCTTGGTCTTCCAGTACTCCATCTTCAACACGTCCTTCTCGCCCTGGAGCTTGTTCTCCAAAGGCACGATTCTGGGGTTGTACGCGTGAAGACGCAACCAGTCGAGCTCGTACCTCGACTTGTGCCCGTTCTGGCTCCACACAATGTCAAATCCATCGTTGTACTTGCACTCGTCCGGACGGATCTTCTCGTCGATGGTGGCCGAGTTCAACAACCGCTGCTTGGTGATATCGTAGAAACAGTCGGTGCAGTGGCAGTTGTCCCTGAGCCACACGTAGTGGAAGGCCGTGGAGGTGCCGTCGATGTCCACGGTGAGGGTGTTTTCAGAAAGGGAGAAATCTTTGGTCATGGGGGAAAAAGTGGGAGATGGCCTGCCTTTATATATTCGAAAATCCGGGGAAGCGCGGAATTTTGCAGGGCCCTTTTGCAGCCATTGAGCTGCACCTCTAATGATATTATTTAGCCACCCCAAGCGAGATGCACCCCTAGATACCCAAGTTGACTAAATTTTTGAAATTGATGTTTTTTCAATCTTCGTTTTGTTCATTATGGGTGGACCCTTGACGTGACGCAGGGCCATGCCGGTATAGCGGCTTCGGTGGGGCGAATAAATCGCCGCATGGACTATAGATTAGGCCGCATAGGCTGGAGATAGCATAGATAATTTTGGATTTGAGCGGGTTTGGCTGAAATCGCTGAATGTGGAAATCGTCTTGTTTGGAGATCGAGGGGAGGAAGATCGTATGGTCGGCTACTACTGGATTGGGAGGCAGGTGGGTGGGTGGGTGCAAGGTGGAAATAAGCTTTGGCTTCAGGCTTCGGAATTTTATTGTGGAATTGATGTGGGTTGGGTCAGATTTGGGAAGTGTGGGTGTATCCATGTTTTTTGGAGTGGAATATACCACCTTTATCAAGAGGTGGTATAGTCCGTAACCGTAATTCTTTGAAAACCCTCGTGGATCACCTCTACAAATTGTAACACTTGTTATGCTCAATTTTCCATCTCACCATGATTCAGGTATCGTCTTCTGTTATGTGGTCAGAAGCTGATTCAGTATGACCTGATGCTTCACTTCTGAGATAAGCTGAAGGGTCACTAGCTTAAAGTGATACTTGTTGTTGAGGGGACCGTTTCTTGCCCACTGACCTATTTAGGTGGTTTTTTCAGTGTGGTCCATTGCAGAAATGAAGTCACTTCAATGTCTGGGGCTTGATACCTATGTGCTTACGTTCTTCGACATGGATAATTCATCTTTCTGCTCCTAGTGCTCTGGGGTGTCCACTTTGTTCAAGGTGTGTAATTGCCTAAAACTTCACTTTGTACTAATAGTTTTGAATCAACGATTACGGGAATCAGAATGGGGCTTTCGTTGATGACTACATGA